TAATAACTTGTAACCTGAACTAGCTCACAATTTATGATGCTCTTATATTGGATGGCGCTAGTTTTCATGTTTAGTACTAGTAGTGTAGTAAGAGGCTACTAGTATAACAACAAAGCTGATGAGTGGTGATGATGAACACCTCCTGTACTCGAGCTTGAGCCAGAATTCGAGAAGGGAGAGCAAGCTTTTAAATTGATGTAGGAACTGCTAGGAAGATAGGTGGGAGCAAATACAAAATTGTGTAACTTTTGACTGTTTCTGAAGACACACTACCAATCTGTAACATGTATACATGTAGCGGTTTTAAAAGGGATAGTGCATTTGTATGTATCAGACAACTTTCCACTTTGCCTAAACAAGAATCATAGCCTGACATGTTCTTTTGCCAAATCTACATTTTTTTTTCATTTGAACTGAAAAGTGAAAACCCAACAGCATGGTCCAAACATTACAAATTCATGTTCCTGTTCCAGAAACAGCTCGGCAGGACTTGCTATTCTCATTAACAAGTGTTGCAGAATAGCTGTAGCCTGAAGTTGTAGAATCAATATCAAAATATGTATAGGGATCCCATATGTATTTGTGATCTGAAAGTGCTGGTGCATTGTCACTCAAAATGATGATGGTGTATTGAATCAGTTTGTTGGGGTCTTGTGGACCTCCTCTGTTTGTTTGTCGAGATAATATAACCCGGTTATACTCATTTGTTGATGTAGTTCCCCCCTTTTGTTCTTGATATTCCTGGAACAAGCTTGTATGTGCTCTATCATTTGCAAACTATCAGATGTGCGTTGCTTTAGTTCCTCCCTCTGTTTTGAATTATAAAGATGTTCTTATTTTTTTCTGAACCGGATATATATGGCCGTGTTTTTGTGTGTTTGTTCACTCATTTCAGCCCCTATATAGTCCCCTTTGAAATATCCAAAACGTTTTATAATTCAGAGCGGAGTACTAGGGTCTGATATGAAGGCTGGTTGCATCCCAGTACTAGGGGGCTGTTTGGTTTGTGACTAACTTAGCCAAAGATTGCCACAACTAAGGTTAGGCAAGTTTGACCAACTTAGGTGAGTGTTTGGTTCAAGCCACATTTGGGCCCCACATGGCATACACACAAAAAGTGTGGTAAGATTCCCTTAGGCTCCAATTTGTAGCTCTCATTTTGATGAACTAACCTTAGACAAGTTTGGCAAAAATGTGTGGCAAAGTGTGGCAATGCTAGTCCTAAAACCAAACAGCCCCTAGGTCTGATAGTTTTGTAGGTCTGATATGAAGGCTGGTCATCCCTCTGTTTTGCTGCCCATCTTATGGTGTCGCTCACTTATGGTCCGTTGATGCTCTGTGTTCAGTGCTCACTCTCTAATAAACTCCAGCAACTCCTTTAGCATCCTAGATACTAGATCATGAAAGGCGCGCGTTGCTGCGCCCGTCTAATTTGACAGTATAATATTAGTGATTGATGGAATTGTAGAGGCATTATACTATAGAGAATTGGTATGCAAATTATGATATAATAATATATAAATTACTCCGTAGGAATATCTTAGTGGACATACAACCACGGAAGTATCTCGGTACCTGGTATTAGGGCACATTTATGTCAAAGTACATTTTTTTATTATTGATCATTAAGGCGATGTGATTGATTGTCACGAAAGAAGGTGGTGTTTGTTTTCCCGGAAATCACATGTTGCCATTGAGAAATTTTAGTACTCTATTAGTCTCTCAGATGTGCTCTAAGGTTCCACGCCCTTCTATTTTTCTAGTATAGAATAGAAGAAATTTCTATAAATATATGCAATGAAACATATAGCAGATGTCTCCTATATGAGATAAATCACCAATGCCCGAGACAATAGGTGTGTTCTAATATTCTAGGAGTTTTAGCGACAACACAGGCAACTCTACACACTATCACCCTCGAACAACTCTCTAAGCACTGAAAGCATTCCTTAAAAAGGTTGATAGAGTATTTCACTATTTCGTATGATATCAACTGGAGCTATAAGCATCTGTTATTGCAGTGGTACTAAAGTCCAATACTATGATAGGTCCTTCGTGCAAATATATATGACATACATAGAAGTAAGCTTTGCATTATCCACATGGTCCAAATATACCAATCAAAATGTTCTATGCAGCACACTCAGAAATATTTATGTGGGGAATTTAATTCGACCACGCAATCACATATTTTTGAGGAAAGAGTTACACAAAGGCATGCTTACTAAGCAAAACCTCATCATGTCAAGCATTGACATATACAAACAACTCTGGAAAAGTTGTGGCAACATATAATAGAATGCAATTTACAACACTTCTCTATGAAAGTACAAGGAGACCGGTTCCTATCTAAGGAAGTCATCACCTGCATGTAGGCAGATTAGCGTCACAACATTGGTGTGGGTAATCTTATAAACAATACATAGTGAGTTATAAAATTGGTATAGAATTTTAAAATTCACTAAATCAAGTAAAAGAAAAACAATACATCAACTCCTGTCAAAGATTGCCTCGGAATACTTCAGCGCCCCCACTGCAAAATGCGTCGTATTTCTCATGACAGCTAAGTTATAAACTCATACTGAAAATGTATATAATTTAGACTACCATGCACAGACTACTGTCAAACTCATCCCAAAAACACAACCTTGAGTCTTTTAAGTACGCAGGAAAATTTGTACCAAACACAAAATGCTAAAATAATAGAAAGCCAAAGTTATCAAATACTTGCAGATCTCCATGTATCTTTATTTTTAGGAAAGGAGCCACTTACTCTATCAAAATAACATAACATGGATTTTCATCCTTATTGTTGTCTTGCATTTTTGCAGTCAAATTATGTCAGATTGTTCCATCCAAACATGTGGTTATTGCACAATAAGCTAAATATCATTGTTGAGACTAAAATACCTGGAGGCCAACGAAGAGGCAATTCCCAGAACCAAAAACAAAGTTGAACACACAATGTTTGGCGGATTTCTTGTTATTCTGCTTGCCTTATGCCCTCAACATGCTCCTGGGGTTTTGTGCCCAACTTGGAGCGGGAGCCACTGCATTACAAAACCTCATTCATGTGCATCTTTTCAAACCAACCAGAACCAACAGAAGCACGAACAATAAAGGCAAGAGATATATGTCACTATAGCCGTGACACGTAATTATTCCCCGATTCCAGCACATACCTCTGTAGCGGACCAACAAGTACTCAAGTAGTAAGAGCTATAGTATGTCCGCCCAAATTCTCAACGTTCTTGTGGGTGATCTGAAGCCTGCAAGGGGCGGTCTGCACTGCGGTTGCTCTTTGAGGTGCTAGATGGAGTAGACCGCTTGTTTGCTTCTTCTACCCCATGCATACAACATTAAGTTGCATGCTGAACCAAATTGTTGATATAAGAAAGTTATTCTAATCTGAAGGTACAACAACGTTCTAAGAAAATTATCATGATCAGACAACAAACTAACCGAACAATAACATTATTGACTTCAGATTGCATTTATACTTGTCCCATGTGATGTTGATGCTGAGAGCTACCTGCACTTTAGTGAATTTAAACCATGTTGAACTTAACATAAGCACACTGCTGAATCTAAATATTTGGTGTTTATGCTGGCTAGGTTAATTCTCTAAGAAATGATACAAATGATCTAGATACTTAATTCCTTAGTCGTCGTCACAATTCAGATGTTCAAGTCAGCAAGTTAGGTGTCAAGCGTGTCAATTAGAAGCACATGGTGGGTATTTGATTTCGTTCAAATCCAGGGTACACTGACTGAAGCAAAGACGATTAGATTAGGGGGCAGGGGATTACAGAGTGAGACAACAATGGGGAATTGGAGAATGCACTGGTAAGATGTGACTACTCCATGTTGACAAATCAACTGATTGCAGACGAATTCAATTTGGACTCACCTCATATATATTTTCAGCAAAAGAAATCAATTGCTTCCGATCACAATTCAAAAGGTTGGGTTACTTATCATGATCAGGTGCAGACTGCAGCGATTGAAGGAATTGCCAGCAGGAGGGCATGGCGGCTGCACCTAGCGACTTTCCAGACTCTCGGGCCACGGGCAAGGTCAAGGGAGTGCAGAAGCGCGCCCGTCGTCTTGCCCGACAATGTGCTTGTGGACGCGGACAAAGCAATACTGTGAAACAAGAGGAGGAGCCCCAGTCAATACGCTAGATGTAAACAGAAGCAGTCTGTGAATAATTTAAAGGGAGGAGCCCGAGAATAAAATGGAACAGGTAACTGGGGATCGGCCTAACCTGAAGATCGTAAAGGACGTTGAGGTACAAGGTTGAACAAATTCAGCGCGAGGTTGAGTGCGCTCGGCCGCTACCGCCCCCCGCTCCGCGCCCGCCGGCAGGACGCCATACACCGATACACGTCGAGGAGTCACGCACCGGTGTGACCAGAGACATCGCCCTCGCCCACCACGCATACACGGGGGATGTCCCTCCCTTCCTCCTCCTCCTCCTCTCTCTCTCGGCGGCGCACCAGGTCTTGCCCTAGGCCAACGTCGGGAGATGTCGGGGTGGGATTGAATGGGGCTAGGAGGTGGCCGCAGAGTAAAATCGAGATCGTTCGTGCGAGATCCGACGGTGACCCGTAGCATTGATCCACAGGCTTTCGATTCTGCCCCTAGAGCAGCAGCCCAAGGACAGTCGGCCCAGGAGTAGCCCATGCGGGAGAAAAAGCGTGCGTTGGACGGGCTAGGGACAAACGTGGCCCAGCAACCAGAAACGTGCGTTGAAGGTCGAACTGTAGGACAAATCTGACGGCCAGGAACATCTGCATCGTCAAAATGGACGGTTAAAAACTCTAATTGCTGAGAGAGCTCGCTTTAGGTGCGGTTATACTGTCCTTAATTGCACGCAGCTTCTGGGCAGTGGGGCCAAGCAGCCAGTGTCCAAGCCCAGCTCTGCTCCACCAGCTCGCTTCCCGCACCATGGAGAGCAGAGCACCACACCTTATCGTCTTCTTCTCTTGTTCGCGCCAATGGCGCTCAGCCTCTTGAACCCTGCTCCCTCCTCCAAGATCGCACTCAAAGCTCCAGTCCCGCCACTCCCGAACCGCTCGTTTCTCTTCCCGCCACCGCGCCTGCCTGCTCTCCACGTTGCCCTCCTCCTCCGCAGTCCGCCGCACCGGCGCGTCCAGTCGTCGTCGGCGCCGTCGGCCCCGCCGACGGACGGCTCCCCGACGCCACCATCGTCGAGGGAGGAGGCGGTCGCGCAGGCCAGGTCGTGCCTGGCCACGGCGCTGCGCAAGCCGCTCAACAACTCGCTCCCGGCGCGGAAGCTCAAGAAGCAGCAGCGGCAGGCCCGGTTCCGCGCCGAGATCCCCGTGGTCGACGACTCGCCGGGCTCCCTCGCGCGCCTCGCCTTCGACGTCTTCTCGGGCCTCGGCGTGTCCCGGAAGGGCTCGCCGGCGAGGCTGCTCCTCGTGTGGCCCTCCGCGGAGGACCAGGCGGTGGCCGTGCGCGAGTTCAAGAACTGGGGGGACACGTCGGCGCTGGCGCACGCGCAGCTGGACGCGGTGGCGCCGGACGCGCTGGGCGCCTGCGACGCCGCCGTGTTCCTCTCGCCGGGGCGGCCGCAGGTGGAGAAGCTGCGGGCGGCCGTCAGCGCGCTGGACCCCAGGCCGGCGGTGCTGTTCAACCCGGGGTGGAGCTACGAGGTGGAGGAGGAGGGGTTCGGCGGCGTCGCCAAGGGCTTCGTGGGCTCCTTCAACGTGGTCTACTCCTTCATGGGGCTGGAGGTGAAGGGGCTGCTGAGCAAGAAGAAGGGCGTGCTGCTCCGGTGCGTGGAGGGCGGCAGGTTCGGCGGCGAGAGCTGGGTGCTCATGATGGAGGACGAGGAGAAGGAGCCGGAGCTGAAGGTGGTGTCGCGGATGAAGCGGCGGCCGACGGTCGGCGAGGTGGAGAACATGATGTACAACCTCATGGCCGCCAACTCGCCGGTGACCAAGTCCGCCAGGTTCCTCAGGGAGCTCGTGTCCAACGTCACGGGAAGGAAGGGGAAGCCGTGACATTGGTTTCATTGGCCTTGTGTGTTCACGGCGTCTCCTGAACTTTCAACACTTTGTTGATTGCCTGAAAACTCTGAAATGGTTGTAGTGGTGCAGCAACAAGTTTGCATTTGCAATGCATCTTCGGAATATGATAGGCAATGTTAACCTATGGATAATAGAAGTTTTGCGCGCTAGCAAATGACAGAAATCAGGTGTGCAACAACTTGGGATTAACACCCATTGTTGATAATACTAGTGTATGATACTATATTCGTAACAGTTTGTTTAATTCACATATAAATGATTTTTAAGGACATCACATCTAAGCTCCCACAAATATATAATGCAGCAACAAGAAATAAAAACTAGGACAAAAAAATAGACCACAAACAAAATGAATATCAGCTTAGATGTGATGTCACATATATTCATAATGCATAGTATCGTAGTATTTTGGTATCGTAGAGGACTATATTTATTGACATGCATAACACAAAGTAGCACATCATGTAATATAATACAGTATCAAGTATCAGGATATGATACTCAATCATCTCTTTCTTCATTTAATTCCATACCACCTCATCAAAATTGTTTAGTTGTCATGCATCCATTACGAACAACTTTAAATATCTTTGTTCATCATGACCATTTTCAGTGCTCAGAACGGAATTGAAGGGAATTATTTTCTGGCGTAAGGCAGGCGGCGCTGCTTTCATTGGGATTAGAGGGGAAATAGTTACAGGATGGTACAAATTCCTAAGAGGTGATGCTTAATTTTGAAAGGAAATAATTCCCGATGCTTCTTATTCCCAAGAGATCAATCACGCTTGGGCCGCTCCGACGCCACATTTTATTTTTCACTGTCGCCCTTCTCAATCACTTCTCGGTATCGCCCACCGGCATGCTTCGTTTTGACTACTCGCTGTTGGTAGACACGGAGAAGGTCAGATAAGTATTTATAAACAAGATCAGTAGAGCCATTGATACATGTGCATGTTTTATTATAGGCTTTAGTGTGTTTCACCAATCAACCTGTTCTGAAGATATTGCACTTGATTTTTCTGAATACAGAGTACATGGTACGTCGCCTTCACTGCTTCTCATGTTTGAGTTTCTAGTTTTTACAGTAAACTATAGCCCGTCTCACACAACTGCAGAAAAATGTGCCACGTAGGACAACGGACGAGAAGCCGTTGGGGCGTCAGGGCCATTGTTTTGCAGACTTCTACTCGTTGCTCCTTAGTTTCCCACTATGCATTCCTTTCTCTTTGGTAAGACAGTAAGAGCATCTATAATCGGACTTGGTAAAACCAAGTCCTCGCAATCTTGCGAGCTGAGGAAGAATATTGGCGCCGTAGAGATGGAGCCAAATGGGTGACGAAAGGATACATTCAAGTAAAACTGGAACCCACTCTCTAGTGATGACCTGCTTACCTTGCTAACTGCTCAAAGGGGCACTAACGCTAGGATAGTCTGGAGATGCGTAGGGGCGCTGTTTTGGTCGCTTTGGTCGGTTCGGAACAAAATTATGATTGAACAAAAGTGCCCTGCTCACCCAGCTGATATTATCTTCAAATGCCACATTTTCCTACAGACTTGGGTGCAGTTGGGGAAAACGCGTGACGCGGACCGTATGAACGGGATCATGGAACAGATCAGGGCGACTATGGTGAAGGCTCGACAAACTGCTGCGCCAGTTTGGGACTTTTGCGCTGAGTTTGGTTGATGTTTAGTTGATCTTTTGGGCATATTTGGCTCATGTTATGTTGGCTAGAAACTGTTCTTATTTAGACTAGACTATGCCGGGATGTGACGCCCGATGTTTACTTCCGTTTGGTTTGTATGTTTTAAACTATGTGTAGATGCTGCCTAGTGGCTTTATTAATTTAAAGCCAAACGCTTCTAGCGTCTACGTTCCAAAAAAATAATCGGACTTGGACTAATTTGGACCCTTATACATTCACAGATGTGTTTGGACACTGTTTGGACGTGTCAATTTTGAATCTTCATTTGTCCATACGCACAGCCATGTCTTTCAAATTACCCGGTCAAATGCATATGACCGGTGGGGATGAAGAGAGAACGAGAGAGAAAAATAATAAAGTGATAAAGTGGTCCAAAATGGGCCGCTTTGACGTGGCGGGCTGTTCGTACACCCTCGTATCCTTCTCAGATATGGGCTCAATTTGAGGGTTTCATGGACAAGCGAGACATGACGAAAATTTGGAGGGTTCGATTGGATTGTGTTTTTCTTATCTCTCTTGTCCGGACTGTTCGGACTGTCCGCACGAACATATGAGGGCAGTTTAAGGGATACGGTTGTAGATGCTCTAAAAAAAGTTGAAAACTCCTTTTTTTAATCACAAACTTTATTGATTTAAACAACATTTAGGTGCGTCGAGGGCGGGAGGTTCGGCGGGGAGAGTGGGGTGCTCATGATGGAAAACGATCGGCTTGGTGGAGAACATGATGTACGACCTCATGGCCACCAACTCGCTAGTCACCAAGTCTACCAGGTTTCTCGGGGAGCTCGTGTTCAACGTGACTGGAAGGCAGGGGAAGCAGTGAGATTGATCTCCTTGGACTTGTGCATTCATGGTGTCTTTTGAGTTTCCTTGTTCTGTTGTGCCATTGCGTGAAACTCTGGAATGGTTGTGGTGCCACAACAACATGTTTGATTTTGTAATTTAGGCAGCATTTGCACATCATCTGCAGATTATGATAGGCGATGTTAATCAATGGATAATGGAAAGCTTTGTGTGCTAGCAAATCACAGAAATCAGGTGTTCAAAAGCTTGAGATTAACAACCAACAATAGACATCTTTGTTCGTCATGGCCCTTTTCAGCATTCAGAAAGAATTGAAGGGATTTTTTTTACAGTGAAAGGCAGGCAACGACCTTGCACCACCAATCAAACGAACTTGACGAAGGGGGCGTGATGCAACTGAAGAATTGCCCAAGCTGTCAGTGAGCTTCCCATTGGCAGTCCAGCACTAGGTTAGGGCATCCTTCTCTTGCAGTCACAACTGCACAGATTGGGGATCATACCAGAGAATTGGGTGATAGATTCGACAATGTGGTCAGCCTTGAAGTGTCGCACCCATTTGTCATTCTCCATGGCGGTTTTTATGGCCACAGTCCGGAGAGTGCACTGTTTGAAGAGGTTCGGGTAAAGCTCTTTCAAGCTCTGTCGGTGCATCTAAGGGTCCGTCCTGAATTTTGAAAGGAAGTTTGCTATTACGAGCATGGCTCTAATGTCGAATTGAGCAAACTTGTTCTTCTGACAACGATCAGCACACCAAAATATTGCCCATGCTCATTCAACACGACAGGAATCTCTGCTACTCGAACTCTAGTTCATGATGCATCTTATTCCCAAGAGATCGCGCTTACGCCATTCCAACATCACGTTTTATTCATCACTGTTACCCTTCTCAATCACTTCTCGACATCATCCACCGGAATGCTGGTATACATGAAGAAGGTCAGGGTTATTATAGGCTTTAAAGTTTCACCAATTCTCCAACTGGCACACACCTGCTGGCGTGACGGAGCACGCGCCATGAGTTTTTGCTGAACACGACACTACCAATGGATCCCAGTCGGAGTGGCTGTGAAGGCGCCCGACTATTGGATCCACGGCAGGGCTGCTCCGACAGCGGATCTGTATCCTCCTGGGACAAGCGGAATGTCAGCTGGACTGCTATCTCATCCTCGTCCAAGAAGGCGGCAAGCTCCCAATTGACTAATCTAGACCGGTCGGTCTCATACCCGCCCCTAGTGATGCAAGAGATGGCCGAGGAGGGAGCGGGGCAGAGCTGAGCGGACTGGAAGCGCAATGGACTAAGGGAAATTACTAAGTAGGACTTTGTCAGGGTTGGGATTTTTTGGGGTCAAGATTGGCCTGTCTGTTGTGGCGGCAGCGTCGGCCTCAAATCCGCCCCACATATGATCTAGATATGGGGTGCGAGACATTTGGCCTGGATATGGAGGATCCGATTGAATGACATTTTTCTCAAAAGAAGGATGACTTTTTTTAGCCGTACCCGGGTTGTCCGTCTGAACATATGCTGATATGCAAGAGGACGAAGGGGTCCGATTGAAGATGCTCTTGTCACTTATCAGGCTCATTTAAAGACATACTCCACACGCACGACAGGCGAAACACAAACGCCGCCACATCGAACCTCCTCCCAGTGCTCCTCCCCTCGCCGCCGCCGCCGGCGGCCTCGTGGACGGCTGCGGTGGCGGCGGGGCGCCCCTTTCTCCTCTTGATCCCCTCTCCGGTCGACCCCACAGTGAATGTCAGTTCGCATCGGATCCATGGACTCAATTGCTCATAGTTGTTTGCATCAGATCCAAGACTCGATCACTCATGGTGGCGCTCCAACAAATCAAGCCGGTGCCTTTGATCCAGCGACTGGATCACTCACACCGGCGCTCCAACAGATCGGGCGGATGCGTTCGATCCAGAGACTCGATCGCTCACGGGCGCGCTCCAACTGATCGATCGGGCCGGTGCCTTCGGTCCTAGCGGGCTCTGTGTTGTGGCTCGGGCCAAGTCAAGGGATGTGCCCCCGCATGGTCTGGCCGCAACCAGCCCACCAGATCTGATGGCGGCCAGGTTCTACTGGCTGCTGGCGTCCGGACCGGACCGGGAGATGTCCGCTACGGTTGGATCTTCGCCGTGAAGGATGTCGTGAAGCCATTGTTGGTGTGTCTAGCGTGAAAGTGATGTTGCGGGATGCAGCCGGAAGGCCCTTTCGTGGTTTTGGCGGTTCTCGCTTCGGCCAAGTTGCTTCGACAGTGAGATGCAATCTACAGATGACAACTTGACGTAGAGGGTATGGTTGTGCAGCGGTGCCAAGCCCAACACTGCTATGGGATTATGGAAAAGTGGTGGCGACAACACATGATTGACTCTGAGTTGATGGTGCTTCTTGAGTACCAGGTCTCGAGCTCCAGGATGAAAACCCTAGGTCGGACCATGGTTGGTTATGACTGGCAATGGGGA